AAGATTGCACGACATTTTAGATGACGAGTCATAATTACTCTTCAAGATATAATAGCCAGGTCGCGACTCAGCAACGGGAAAGATCCCTCAAATGGAGAACAGTAACGTATCTTACACATTCTGATGGCAAAGATGTGTGCAGAAGCTTTGACAATATTGACTTATTATTCCTACAATCATGCATGGTGGATAACTGTTTACGATGGACAATTGTACGTAGGTTAATTTTTAAACTTTTAGTCAACTTTAATACTTTTACCTAATTATATGAGGTGTGTTTTAATCGCGGGGAATGATTCGTTGATCGTAATTATTCGGAGCTTGTTTCCGCATGAACCTGTTTGAGACAATGTTATTGTAAATACAATATATGTATTTTAATGAAAAAAAAAATCAATGAACAATGAATAAATAACTACACTATCTATAGATTTTATACATACTCAAAAGATACCATTTACAATTAAAGACGGTTATTGTTAATTAGTTCCTGATTTCCAAGATAACGGGTTTCTATTTTAGTCACTTATTTGTTAGTAAAGTACGTCATTGCCCATTTCTGGTATAACAGGTACTCCGAGTTTCTCTTAACATGTATTGTACGTTGAGACCGGCTACCATTCATTTTACCAAAACGCCAGAAATGGATATAAATGATGCCATAACTATTTTTTTATCGCGGCTCTCCTCCTTCGTTCCCTTTTCATTTATGGCTAGCACTCATCCTCTTCAGGATAGGTGTCTATTTATGATACATCAACAATGTTAAAGTTACGTATTAGAAGCATCGCGTCATTGAACATGGGTAATGTATTGGGTACCAGATCAATGGTAAAGACCTCAGCTGCATGTCCTATTGTTAATGACACATGCAATTCTAACCCAGCCACAGTAAACAGGGTTTAAATTGTAACTTGTCGAAATATAAGGCTTTTTTCGCCATTGAAATCACAATCATCCATTTCGGCAGACAATGCAGCGAATGGAAACATGGCAACTGATTATTTGTTGATAGCCCCAAAACCTTAGCGATTATTAATCAGAAATAACGTTCTATTGTCAATGCTAAACAATCAAATGACAAATTAAGCATAGCGTAGTCAGTCTTCTCTGCATGGGAATGTTAAGATGGCTTTAAGCTTTAATATTTCTCAATAGCCATTGTATAAAAAGTTTTATTTTATTTGACCATAATGAAATTTACGGTAATTTATGGACTGAAACCGCAGCCTGTTACATGACATACGACAAAGACACTTATATATATGGAACCTTTCTCCAACAGCAAATCTCACAAATACGCAAACTGCCACAAGCGAATAATTCTCCAATAACAAATCTCACAAATACACAAGAAAATCCTCATCACGAACAATAAGACCTCTTGATTTTTACCAAATAACCAAAAAATGACTCAAACAGCGAATGACTATTTTAACCGCGGCTCTCAGCTTGAAGCACTAAGAATATTACAAATTGCAGCTGATGATGGATATGCACCGGCATTACACCGTTTAGGCGATACATTCTCGTACGGTATCGGGGTCGACCAAAACTATACGAAAGCGTTTGAATTTTACTACAGAGCTGCCTGTATTGGGTTAGCCGTATCTCAATACAGAGTTGGGTGGTCGTTTCAATTTAGCCTGGGAGTGCCCCAAAATTATAATAAAGCGATTGAGTTTTATATTCTGGCTGCTGACCAGGAATACCCACTGGCACAATTCTGTCTCGCCTGGTGCTACGAACACGGTGTTGGCGTCGAAAAGAATGCACAGAAAGCCAAAGAATATTACGAACAATCAGCCCAAGGAGGGATGGATGAAGCTTTATACCGTGTCGGTGAACGTTGCGAGATCGACGAATTTTCCGCGATGGCCTATAACAAAGCAGCCCAATTAGGACATCCGGATTCCCATTATAAATTGAGTTTATGTTATCATCACGGCATAGGTGTAGAGAAGGATGAAATGAAGGCGTTTGAATTTTGCCGTTTGGCCGTAGAAATGGGAGTAACTGATGCACGTTGTTTGTTAGGTGCATTTTATCAAAGTGGTACAGGCACATCAATAAACCATTCCATGGCATTCAATTTATATCTCCAAGCGGCAGAGGACGGAGATACGGGCGCATATTGTTATCTCGGTCATTGCTACCGGAACGGTATTGGAGTGGTGACGGACAATAGACAAGCATTTAACTGGTATAAAAAGTCTGCAATTCAAGGAAACCCGGATGGCCAGTATAATCTGGCAAATTGTTATAGATATAGTGTGGGAGTAAAGGCGGACGTTTTGGAAATGATGGAGTTATTAATAGCGGCAGCCAACAAAGGCCACAAAAAGGCGAGAGCAGATTTAGGTTGGGGTTGAATAGTGCAGCAGTCATTAGTTTTGGTTTGTTTAGTTTTTTTGCTTATTAAACCATTATAATTCGTAGTCGAAAAACTTTAGTTTAATTTTTTGAGGTCAGGTATATTGAACATATGATACGTAATGATAAGTCTATATTGTCCATAACAGTCAATAAACTGTATTTGGGGTATATTTCGTTAATCCGCAGATATGTAACACGGTCGTTTGATGACATCATAATTTATAAGAAAGACACGCCAATTATACAGTATAATGTGTAATATGTTAGGCCGTGTGTACATGAAGCTTATTTCGCCTATTACTAATTCGACAGTTGAATACATTTTTAAACCAATTTTCGATCGAACAACTGCTTGTACGAAATTTTAAATGCTCACTATTCTCAGACATCCGAAAAATAGATTGGGTTAGTATTAGTAAGCAATTTATAAGGTAACATTAAGATGCATGTGGCAATAATAAGCGATTATGACAGCATTCTTATGTGTGGTGCAATTTTGTCAAATATTACTTGCAAGCGAAGCGAGTATGAGATTACTATTACATGCAGAAAATTTTGTATCACTGTTTTAAGGCATAAAACAATTTGGTAGTAGTTTGACGATAATAAAGAAGACTTGTAGTTTGTTCGATCACCTATCAATATGTGTATAACATTTCCCGAATTGATGAAATGTTATCAGTAAAAAGAAAAATGTATCACTAGAATACTTTAACTCATCGCTTCAAGTTCATATCTCAGAGGGCTCCGGGCTAGTGAAGAACTTATCCGCGAAATATCTAACACGTTGTATCGTTTGTTTATTTGATTTCTAACGTTGGTTTGATTTCTGATGTCGGTTTAATTTCCGACGCTGGTTTAATTTCTAACGTTGGTTTAATCCCCAGCGTTGGTTTAATTTCTACTGTTGATGTGTAATGATATATCAGTTGGTCTAAGCTTGCGCGTTCCCGATCTAAATTGCCTTCGTACAAGTGTTCAACGAATGTTCTGGTTATCATCATTGAGTTAAAGTTAACTTTATACTGTTACACAAACCCGTGTTGTAAGGATCTCTTCGCACGCACCGCCAACACATTTGCACCATTAATTATCTATGACGGATAACAACTCTGTCCTTTTCTCTTGGTTGGACGTGTTGAAGACTCCGATGGTATGGTTTGTATGAGGAATGGGTTCTATTTGCGCGTGCAAGTCAGATGACGCGAATTACTCTATTATAAAGCGACAAACCTTTGCTACTATCTTAATCGTTACTTCTTATGGAAAAGCCCGTATTATGTATATAAAAGTATTAAAAAAAGAGGACTTGCTGAACAGTCTTATGATTTTAAAGATTATTCCTTAAACGGCGCTGGATCGCGTCATCGGCAAGCATGTTCCATATATTAGAAGACTGAGATTTGGCCTTTAATCACTATCAACGAGTTGTATGGCAAACGGAGAAATTCGAAGTGATATAGACATTAAAGCCGTATTCTACTCTCTAAGAACTGGAAAATTAGATAAAGATATACACGACAAGGTACGTCAGGATGTTGGAGGATAAATACTCTAAACCATGACGAACCAATCATTCATACTGAATTAGATCGATTATAGGGGTGGTCAGAAATTTATAGGAATCGTCAGTCCTTACATGAAAACGGTAGGGATCTATGAGCAACACGAAGAGCTGGTCCCACGGCCCTTTCGAATGAACTTAGTTACATCAGCACAATCTTTTCTTACGACACGGAAATTCCCCGATGATGTTGCCCAATTTTTCGTATATCTATTATTTATTTCGATTATATGTTCATGTTTCCTGGTAATTGGTGGAAGGACCAACACCTCTTGATTGGCCAAGTATGCTAAGTATACGTTGTTTCACTGTCAAAGAAAGATGAGTAGAAACCTGAAGCATCGCTAACACAATTACCATGCTTTTACTGATGGCTTTTATTACTAGTGATGAGCACGTCAAGTGCAGACTGTATTATCCAATAGCTCCTGCCTCACGGTTGCTTACATTATTCCTGTCGAAATCTCTACTATAACAACAATATTAATATTTCAATTGCATATTGATCTTTTTACTCTCATCAATCTCTTTTATTGTTTATCGCCGAAAAGGAGTATATGTTGTCTTTAGACTTCGAGCCATTTGGTTTTCTGGCGTCTGAGGTCTATTGGTGCCAGCGGCAGATACATGCTTTCAGTCTTCAACTTCCTCACCCTACTTATTACATCTCTAAAGTATCTCCTCAATGTAAGTGCATTTTTCAACAGGGTTTCCACAGCTTTTCGATCTGAAACGCTCAGCGGTATTGTCAAATCAAAAAGATCAAACGCCCTGTAAAATACACCACAAAATGTATCTACTACCGAAACAACTATTTTATCACACATGCCTAAAAGTGCAATACAAGGCATGTCGTTTAAGGCCTTACTCACTTCCTGCGCATCGTTACAGGACGTATCTCTACCATGTAATATCACCATGGAGAGCCTATAATGCCCGTCCTTGCCCAATCGTTAATATGCTTCGTCTCCGGCGCATCAAATGGCGAGAACTCCGCGAAGACAAGTTCCAAGTCTACTTCAGTGAGTTCTTTTTCTTTATCTTCATCACCGTTGCCTTCGGTGTCGTCATCGTCTTCGCTGTCATCATCGCCTTCGCTGTCATCATCGCCTTCGCTGTCGTCATCACCTTCATCTTCTGGCTCATCCGATTCCAGGTTGCCATCTTCATCGGAATCATCACCAGATTCAACTTCCTCTACATCAACATCATCAAGAAGGAACAACCTGACACGCAAGTCAGGTTTATTGCCAGTTGTCGTTGCACCCATCCTCTCTTTACGTTCAAGGGATGACTGGCTTACTTGTTCAGCCCTTTGAACAATATAAAAATACATTAATATTAATTGAATATTTACGAATAAAAGACTAATGCTAATACTACAATGAATTTAAAACCAAAATCCTTACCATGCACGCATCACTGGCATTTTATCCTCCTCATCGAAAGCGAAAATCGGAACCAAAATCCTTGCAAGGACATGGATCACAAACGCATTTTCACTGTGGTCTGCATTTTCAAAGGAAGGCTTGCACTTCCAAATGTGTCGCCTATAAAAATCCAATTACATTATTATTTGTTAACGTAAAAATCAGAATACATAATATCATATACACTTACAAGCCCTCTAGCAACTCGTAAGCTGTGAACGCTACATCCTCAAGCTCCTCATCTATATCACATTTAGGGAACTCGACTGGCCTCACCCTCCTTAAACCCTCAGCATGAGATGCCATGAACGCATCTAACATTTCCTCTACCATAGGTAAGACTTACTTCGTTGGGTTTATCGTGCTCCATAAGAGCTGTCTGTTGATCTCTCTGATACTCCCTACTAGTATGTTATCATCAACTAAATCTTAATAATATGAAGAAATCATAATTATAATGTTTACCGTGTCTAAGGGAAAGGTCCCGAGATTCGAATTCAACTTCTCCAGAGTCGTTCTCCCCATCTTCTTCTTTTTGCATTTTTTAATGGCCTTTTTCACGTCACTCTTGTATTCCTCGAAGGATGTTGCTAGTGATAAATGTGTCATCTCCTGATATGGTATTGTCGTCAGTTTATACTCCTCCAGCCACTTCTTGAATGTTAACGCACTGTAGCAACCACGGTTTTTAAAGAGGTAATCAGTCATTCTTATTGTAATAGTAATAATAATAAAAATGCCGCCGCCGTTCGGCCTTGAATAAATGATGCTAACGTTTAACATTATCGTCAGTAAGTAATTTCACATAATGATATAAGAAATAATAGCACAAGTGGCAAGTATAATCTCACCTTATGTTGAGATTTATGGAGATAAATTGTTCGGTGGTGGATCAGCAAGTGCAAAATCGCTAAAAAAAAGAGCCATTGTAGATGATTAAATAACTGACAAACGTATTGTGAATAAGCGCATTTGTGATAACATACTCTGGAAAAGCCCAATATATCAGCTTTTGTAGACATACGGATATGCAGCTCATCATTGCGATTTGATAATACCTTATCATGAAGCGGCTGGAGCAATTGAAATAAATTGGCAAGAGGTCGTAAGCAAGTGAACAGCGACACTTGAAATACTGAAGACTAGGGAGAAAAGGTTGGTAAGACTATATAATATCTCTCTGATGGATTACTTACCATAATTATCACCATTGTTGTAAGGATTATAATCGAGTACGACTTCATTGCTGGTATGAGATTTCCTGGCCGAGTAATACAATATACAGCAGGAGTATTAAACGGCCGTAAAAATCACAACTTACAGTCGGAAGACCGGCAAATAGTAGTGGAAATTGTTCGTGATGTGTGGTGAGCTTCATCAAGAAGCGCTGCATGTAATTGTCGAAATGCCATAATTGAGCCCGTCAACGCGACATATGACCTTGCTCTTATAATTGTTGTTGCTTCAATAAATGCGTAAATGATCAAGTACTAAGTTTACTCCCTTCAACAACCGATAACCAATAGTTGAGTGAACGAGAAGGTAGATAATCCATGTGAGTTGGCAGAGTAAAGGGAAACAGCGATAACGTTGTTGAGATGAAGACTGTATTTGGGTCACGAATGTCACTGTATCTCTGGTCCATTCTTTAATCTACCAAGCTGAGTTAAAGAAATTGAGTAAATAATTGAAGCAGATATAAATATGCTTGTTAGGCGTGCATACAAATACACTAGTATACGTGTCTGTTCTCATCAACACCCATGTTCGGAATCCATCTCACCTTGTCCAATAACTTGCAACATGGCATATCCTTGTTCAGCTGCTTTTTGATCATAACAGAATCATCAAGAGCACATCATATCAGCAATCCTCCTGATCCTATAAAGTAGAGCTTGTACACTTCCCATTCGACCACTCCTTCCGCTTTCTTCTCTTCCGTCCCCAGCTTAATAGGCTTGTCGATGATGGTGAAACTGGCTTCTTGATATCATTCGTCTCAGCAAAGTGCCTTCTTCATCTTTGAACGATGTATCATTAAAAATACCGGATGCTAGCATTTCATCGGGGGCGCCTCACTTTGCCAGCTGACCATCATTAATCGTTACAACAAATGATGCGCATTGTCCAACATGATACGTAACTAGAATACGCGTACGCTTCTCCGTTTTTGCTCGCACGTGTCGTTTTGAGACTTCAACATGTACAGAGGAAAAAGCGTACACACTACCAGACAAACAATCATCCATTTCCCGCCCGCGAATAAACTGCTCTAGCCAGAGCAATACGTAATCCT